AAACTAATTGAATTTCCTTTATTTTTATATTTAAACATCGTTCTCTTGGTTGTTTGCAAAATTTGTAATTTGTTAAATTGTTAAACTTATCCACTGTGTTTTGGAGTTTGAGGTAGTTTTTTTTTCTTTATTTTTGGAAGAGACCTGCAGATTCTTCTTTTTTTGTGTGTGTGGTTACATTTTCAGTTCCAAACTGTCACACTTCCTACCTCCCCACCCTGTACTATGGAAGGTCACTATTTAGATTCTTTGGATAGATTCATTATCTCCTTTATCCAGAAACTCGAGACAGTTGCCCGTGTTTCTTGGCTTTAATTCTTGTATTATGGTGTTCAGGTTTTGTGACTTGTGTTCTTCTTCTGGGAGACCTATAATCCTTAGGTTGTCTCTATGCACTGTCTTTGAGATAAGAATATTTTACTTGTATGGAGAACATCCTTTCTTTTAATGTTATTGCCCTTTGCTTCTATTCTTCCAGATTGTCCTTCATTTCCATATATTTGCATTTCCAATCTTCTCTTACTTCTTCAGCGAGATTTGTTGTTGTAGATTCAAGTTTTCCACTCTGCTAATTATTTCTGTGGCCATAAATTCTGCTTTCACAATTTTTGTTCCTTTTATTCAAGACCCTGCTTTGGTTTCATGCTGTCTTAGGAATCTTTTGGATCCTTGGCCTCAGCCAGTGTCCACTTATTCTCTTTTGTCTTGCAATGCATACTCATAGATACTTGAACTCTTTTTCTAGGATCTGCAGACCATTTCCCCATGTTCTTCTAACATATTCCCTCTTGGTTCATCTGCTTATGCTCAAGGTCTTTAAATGAGTCTTCTTCCTCCTGAGATCTTTTAGAAAAAAATTTACCCTAGTTGCTCACTTTCTATTTCCCTCGCCTTTGATGGCAGTTTCCTTGGAGATTGGATCTCAAAGCTATCTCAACCTCTTTCCATGCTGCAGCAGCCTAGGTCCCTGCTCCATGGGACTTCTAGGTGGGCAGAACTGGCCCCAAGTGGATGCTGGCATCTTATCTTCAGGCTTAGTGGAGTGACACACAGCTCCACACCTCCTCTTCCCCCACCCCATAAACACACATTTGTGCTAACCCAGTTCCTTCTGTTCCTCAGTTTTCTGGCAGAACTCTGTTGGGGCACAGATTGCTACTGTTACACTCGTCAACACTGTTTATAGCCTGAGCAAATTTCTGTCATTTTGTTCTTGGAGGCACTGGAAGGTGAGAGGGGGTGTCCGGGCGTGAATTTTGAGTTCTGTTCAAGCCCATGGGCTGGTTTGTTGTGGGTGAGTGCTATGGTGAGTGAGCCTAGTAGGGTTAGAAATTAGCTTTCTCCACTGTTAAGTCATTGATTTTTTATTTTGTTTGGGTTCTTGGTATACTAGACCTGAGGTAGACAGCTGAAATTGCTTTACCTTTGGTGCATAATTCCTATTTTTGAGAGGTTTAAGCGATTGTGCTGATGAAAGTATATAGTCCCCTATCTGGTTGGTCACAAAACCTGGAAATTACTGAAATGTAGTCACAAGCAGCAATCAATAAACATTCAGTGCTTTGTGACAGGCATTGAGTTAAGTTCTGGGGATACAAAGAGAAAGCAAAAACAGCCCCTACTGTCCAGGAGAAACAAAATGTACATAAATTGGTACATATTATATTTACAGAATAGGTAACTTTCTCTTTTACACTTTCAATTATGCCTACAATTAATTGTTGAAAGGGACTTTTCATAAGAGAAACTCAATATTAGTCGATAAAACAAATATTTATCAAAAGCCAGCTGTGACCACATGAAGATGTGTTCTAAATGACTAGTTGGCAAATTATGGCCCAAATGTAGTCTGTCACTGGTTTTTGTATATCCTGTGAACTAAAAATGATTTTCATATTTTAAAATACTTTATTGTATTTTAACACGTAAACATGTTAACATGTACAGGTCATACAAAAACAGGTGGCAGGCTGGATTTGGTTCTTGGTTCACAGTTTGCTAACCCTTGCTCTAAATCACTAATAGACAGAAAAACGCAAAACAATTCTAGGGTTTCACTTTACATCTAGCAAATCAGCAATGATAACAAAAGGTGGAAACAGTCAACATTTGAAGGATTCTGGGAAGATGAGTACATTGATGCACTGTTGGTAGAACTGTGAAATAGTTTGTATTTCTGTATGTAACTCTTCTGCATTTCATTTTGAAATTATGCAAGAAAAAGGACTAGTTTGCCGGTACCTTTTGACCCTGCAATCTTACTAGCAAAGTCAAAGAACAAAGGTCCAAAAGACACCAAAATTTGTGTGGTAATAAAGCACTGGAACAAAGTAGATGCCCAACATTTGGGAAGAATGCAGATTGAAGAATGAAGAAGAACGAAGAATGCAAATAAACTCATTAAATTACTCAAACTCTGAGCAATTAAAAAATCAATGAAGTACCATAAAAACATATAATGAAATATACCTTCTTGTGTCAGAAAGACAGGAAATACTAGGGCAGAATAGATGTGGTCAGTGTACTAAGTGCTTTTGCTCATTTTTTTTTTCTTTCTTCAATATGGAAAGACAGAGTTGAAATAAACTTGCTATAAAGACAAGACATAAAATGTGTTTTCAAGCCAGTTATAACCTTAAAAGAATATAACTAAATTAAGAAATTTCAGAGCTCTTAGTTCTGGGCTTCCAGAGACCAAATTTGATCCTAGAGGATGATACCCGCAAAAGATACGTTTATTGTCCCCAAAGAGACTCCACTCAGAGTTCTCTCCTGCAAATTTTAGAATGCACCCACCTTCTTAGTCTCCACAGATATGGTTAAGAGCCCCATCCTTTTACAGGTCTCATGCACTCAAAGTAATAATGCATTTACAGGACAACCTTTATTTTTCTCTACAAGAAATGCAAACAACAGAAGAACCCAGACAAGTCTACAAAATATATTGAAAACACAAAACAGACTTACAATAGCCTATAAATAATCAATATAATTCTGGTGCCTCTAGGTGGGTTCTATTTTTCTCTGGAGTTTTAAAAGTCCTCTAAAGTCAGCAAATTGGAAAGGAACAGACCTTGGGTTTGCCTGAAGGCGAATCCTCCTACCACATATTATAGTTAGTCCATCTTTTCCCAGATCAACCTGCTATACAAAAATCCCATGTAAAGAAATGGAGGAATATTTTTTTTAGCATTTTCATGAAGAATGAGGATTCTAGCACAACATCTCTCTTAGTTCTTAGCATTCTAGTTCCCATATAAAAATTATATTCATTTGATCTCATAAACTTATAGAAAAGAGTCCTGTATTGGTGTCAGAGATAATGAAGTGACAGGCCTATCAAAATCTAAAGAAGTAGTCTGGTAAAATGGAAAGCATGGGAAGTTGGTGTTCCGAGTCTTCAGTTCAAGCCTTAACTCTACTACTTCTACTTATGAGGCCTTAGGCAAATCATTTAAACTCTCTGGGCCTCAGCTCCTCATCTGTAAAATAAAGCGTTTGAAAGAAGTGACCTCTTAGTTCCCTTTCAGCTCTAAATCAGTGATATTGGGTTTTTTCTTTTAAATTACTACAAAATAATATGCCCCCCTCCCATCTTCTCAAAATCTTCACTCCTTAAATTATTACACCAACCAAAAGAAGGAAGTAAGTTGTAGTTCCTTTTAAGACTAGAGGCTTTCCTCTGCAAATGAGATCAAGTTGCTGTCATCTTTTCCCCCTCAAGCTAAGACTCTTAGAAGGGTAAATGGATATGAAGGACTGAGAGAGTATATAATTCATCTCCAAGTATTTGCTCTTTCAATGATCTCAGGAAAATGCAAGTAATTCCATTTTAATGGGAAAATGCAGCGTATGAACTAAAAAAAATACATGCTTTATTTTCTGTCAAACAGCAACTCATGTTTATTACCAGTTTCTCCCAGGTTTCACAAATATTCGTTTCTAATTCTAGGAATACTGAATCAATTCTTTGCCCAGCCTCACTCCCTCACCAGTAGCAGCAAACTCTCCGGGCAACAATATTTCAACACTCTCAATTTTGCCAACATCCCTTACTACTCCCGGGGAAGTAAATTTTAAAGAGGTAATTTAGGGAGCTGACCTAAAAACGCCGGATTTAATGTGATCAACGGGGTGCCTTCCGAAGCTCTGCACGCAGCGCTCACTCTCAACTACAGAAGGCTTGTGCAAGCCCACGGTTCTAACCGGGAACCTTTTCCCTCGCCGGGCTCAAGCTCCCTAGACCGCAGCAGTGACTTAAGGAGGGGTCAGTATGGGGCCGCTTTGGGAACCTCTCGGAGGGACTGGGCCTGTGGCCAGAATCACTCAGTAATTATAAGCATGCTCCGCAATAGGCTGCGTCTTCCTTTATAATAATTATTAACTATTAATTATTATATATACATATACACATACATACAAACATATACATGTATGTATTGTGTATATATACATACATATGCATATGTGTGTATATATATATATACATATACGTGTGTGTGTACACACACACACACACACACACACACACACACACACACAAAGAGAGAGAGAGAGAGACAAAGACAGAGAGCGAGCGTCTATACGTTCGCCCTACATTCTTTGCCAGTGTGAAGACGGGCTGGTGGCGGCCGCCCTGCCTGGGTGTTGAAAGCATGGGATTTTAATTTTTTCCCGTCTCCTCTGCGAAGAGGAAGGCACGCCTGGCAGGCTGCGTTGCTCATGCGGTACAAGTTCTTTGCGCAGCCCATCTCTTCAATGGGCGGGAGAGCTGCACACGCCAAGGGGGTCCCCAGGGAGGGGCCGTGGAGACCCTTGTGGACGCCCTCTCTGCTGTTCCCCTCCCATACTCCCATCTCTCCACTTAGAGGGGCTGAATCAGGGCCTTACATCCCTCTGGTCGCCTTCCCCGCTTCCTGTTACTCCACTCGATTCACTACCTGCCTGAACCTCCCAAGTGTCACGTTAACCCAGAGCAGGGGAGAGGGGTGAAGGGAGTGGGGCCTCATGCGCACGCGCACTCCCAGCCCGCCGGCCCCGCCCCTCCGTGACTCTCCGTTTTGCTCACCCCTCTCTCTGCCCGCGGGACACACGCTAGCACCCGTTGCTGCCCGGCACGTCTTCCGCTTCTCCCCACCTCCTAGAGGCAATGTTCCTAAGGGATGCGTGCGCATTGCCTCCTCCTCGCCCCGCCCCTCCGATGACGGGCGGATGTGGGTGGGGCCTCGGCCTGCAGGCGGGAGGCGAGCTGGCCCCGCCCCTGCGTCCTCGGGGGCGCGCGCCCCTAATTCAGCGCCTTCCGGCTCCGGCGGCCACGTCGGGCTCGCGTCTGTCCCTGCTCGTCCGGAGGCCAGGCCTCCCCAGCCCCGCTCCGGCCGCTCCCCGGCTTCCGGGGCCCCTCGTACCAGGCCGCCTCGAGTTCGCTGGGGGTCTCCGGCGTCCGCGGAAGAGGACCCCGCCTGTCCCACCCCCCCGCAACCCTCCCCCAGCCCGGCGGGGAGGCGGGGCGCCGGCTCTGCCTAGCGCGGTTTCTCCCGTCGACCTCTTCTTGGCCGGAGGAGGTAGGCGCCCGAGGCCCGTCCGCCCCGCCGTGCTCGTGCCCGAGCCCGCGCGCGCGCTCGCTCCGCGCTCGTGCCCGCGGCCTCAGTCTGATGTAGGCATCAGTCTGATGTAGGCATCAGGCTGGTGAGTGTTGTGCTTTGTGCTAGCCGTAGTAGTGTAGTCGTTGCGCTCAGTGATGATAATTACGGTCCATGCTGCTGACACTGACGTTGAACAATGTTTTTGGTGTTTTTCTTTAGGTCTTGGAGGCTCAGAGTTTGTATTCAGCCCTCACAGCCATTCCCTCACTTGGCCCACGGAGGATCACCTTTCTCCTGGATCTTTGTAACACCTTCCTCATTGGCCTTCCTACCTTTCCCCTCTCCCCGCAGGTCCTCTTCGTGCTACCAACCTTGTCTTGGGTGCTTGCCTGCTTTGCCACGTGACAACACCTTTTCCCTACTTCCTCCTGGCCCAGTTGTCATGAGTGCCTAGCTGCAGCGAACCAAGCCCTCCCTTTGTTTCTTCTCAACTTATTTTTAAATTTCCATTTCTTACCCTTCAGAGAACAATAACCATTCAAACAACCTTTAAGAAACATGCTCTGCTTCCTATATAATCTTATGCCAAGCTGTATCACCCCCGCAGGAATCCCATCCTCTCTAAGGAAGTCTTTCATGACCAGAACCTGATAGACTTTTAGATCACATAGAAATACAGAAAAATTCTCCCAACGCATTTTGAGTGTTATATTCCAAGTCATCGTCCCAGCCCCTCCAAAATTTTCTATTAAATTACATTTCTCTTTGGGACGGGAAATCCAACATTAAATCTTTGTAGCAGAAACCAGTAAAGCATTGTTACTTCCAAATCTCTCTTTCCTCTCCCCCAACCCCCAGTCCAAGAAGGTAGCGCATGCTGAATTGAGAAGCAGAGAGGTACCAGGTAGAAGGTTTTGGCTATAATCGGAAACTGGGAAAATTTTTAAAAGAAACTACTTTTGGCAAGAGATAGCATTTCTTACCACGTTCCTTGGTGTTGGGCTTTGAGAGTAATATTCCAGCATCACAAAACATTTTTGTCAAAAAGCATTTATTAAAAGCGTGTATATTTCTCACTGCCCTACTGAGGCTCAGGAGTGAAGAGGAGAAAAAGAAGGACTTTAAAATTCTGTCATCTACTTTCTGCTGTCTTAGAAGTCCTGAATTGCCAAGAACTCAGAAAACGAATAAGGTCAGGATCCCATCTGTTGATTGTATTAAAATATATGGTTGGTTAAAATGTCTGGGGAAGCGTAAACGTGTAGTGTTGACAATTAAAGATAAACTTGACATCATAAAGAAACTTGAAGAAGGTAGCTCTTTCAAACGACTTTCAGTTGTTTATGGGATTGGTGAATCAACAGTTCGGGATATAAAAAAGAACAAAGAGAGAATTATAACTTATGCAAATAGTTCAGATCCAACAAGTGGTGTATCCAAACGCAAATCTATGAAGTCATCAACATATGAGGAACTTGATAGGGTTATGATAGAATGGTTCAACCAGCAAAGAAATGAGGGGATTCCGGTATCTGGAACAATTTGTGCCAAGCAAGCAAAATTCTTCTTTGATGCTTTGGGGATGGAAGGTGATTTTAATGCATCATCTGGCTGGCTAACCCGTTTTAAACAGCGGCATGGCATTCCAAAGGTTGCTGGTCAAGGTACAAAGTTAAGTGGTGGGGATGAAACAGCAGCCAGTGAGTTTTGCTGCAGCTTCAGGGAATTTGTTGAAAAAGAGAATCTACAACCTGAGCAGATTTATAGTGCTGACCAAACTGGATTATTTTGGAAGTGTCTACCATCAAGGACATTAGCTTTTGAAACAGAACACAGCACTTCTGGGTACAGGTCAAGCAGAGAGAGAATCATCATCATGTGTTGTGCTAATGCTACTGGTTTACACAAACTTAATCTTTGTGTAGTGGGGAAAGCAAAGAAACCCCGTTCATTTAAGGGAACTGAACCTTCCAACCTCCCTGTCTCTTACTTCAGTCAAAAAGGTGCATGGATAGAACGTCCTGTTTTCAGGCAGTGGTTTGACAAAAATTTTGTGCCACAGGTAAGAAAGAATTTAAAATCCAAAGGGTTGCTGGAAAAAGCAGTATTGCTTTTGGATTTTCCACCAGCTCATTCAGATGAAGAAATCTTGAGTTCAGATGATGGTAAAATATTTGTGAAATATTTGCCTCCTAATGTGACAGCTTTAATTCAACCAATGAGCCAAGGAATTTTAGCCACAGTGAAGAGGTATTACCGAGCAGGACTTCTTCAGAAATACATGGATGAAGGTATCGATCTTAAAATGTTTTGGAAGAACCTAACTGTGTTAGATGCTATTTATGAAGTGTCAAGGGCATGGAATATGGTAAAGTCAGTGACCATTACTCGAGCCTGGAATAAACTTTTCCCTAGTAGTGAGGAAAATATAGGCCTGAACTTTGATGAGGGAGCTATTTTAGCAGCTAACTTAGCCACAGTTTTACAGCATACAGAAGGTTGTGAAAATGTTGATATTGAAAACATTGAAGACTGGTTTGAAGCTGAGAATGCTGAGCCGAGTTATGATGTATTAACAGATAGTGAAGGGACACAAGGCCAGGTAGACCAAGCTGATCATGCAAGTAAAAATGAGGAGGTAGAGGAAACGGAGCTTATTTCACAAAGGCATATTAGCCATAAATCTGCTCTTGAGTGGACTGAGAATTTACTAGATTACCTGGAACAGCAGGATGATATGCTTCTGTCTGACAAACTGGTATTAAGAAGGCTTCGAACCACGATAAGAAAGAAACAGAAGACTCAAAATAATAACAAAAGTCAGTAACAGTATTTTTAAGTGTTTGTGACTTTGTGACTATTAACTTGCACTGAAGCTTCATTATTTAGTATTGTTAATTCCAAAGCCAAATACATTTTATAAATGGATTTAGGATTAGCAATGCCACTGCTTTCTTCCAGTACCACTGATCATTAAGAGTTAATCTGTAACCTTCCTGTTGTTTCTAAACTTTATTGTATTAATTACATCATGAGTCTCATGAGGCTGGTGATCTTGTGTCTTGTTTTGTACCCAGATGACATAGAGTCTAATATAGGGCCATTTACTTTTGGCTTCTCAATAAATACTAACTGAATTGTATATTCACTGACTTCAGTGAACTTTAGTTTTCAGTTTTAACATATAGGGTAAGTTTTTTATTCCCATGACATTTCTTTATAGGAATGCTTCAAACAACTCCGCAAGGATTTTTCTTTAAAATGTTCACCATTATAACAGCTGGATCAAAATGGTGGGAAAAGGCTGAAGTCTTCAAAATATGGAAAGACTGAAAAAGTGGTATTTAGAAAATCAGTAATCCAGCTTTGATGGAGGTGAATGAAGAAGCAGGATCAAAATGTCCCTTTCCTGAAACTGTTTTCATCTTCACCTCTGAGGGTGGAACTATTACATTATCCTGGGAATCCTTTATTGTGTCTACTGATCATACAGAATTAGTTTCTGATAAGTGGAATTGGGAATAGTGCATTATGGGTATGGGACTGATAGGAGAGGAAAAACATTTCTTCTCAGGCAGCATAAGCATAAAAGCTTCATTCACAACCAGATCATGCCAGCACAACTTCTCTTGCCATTTGCAGGCCTCTAACTCTTTAACACACCAGGCAGCTACTAATCAACAGGTTAGGGTAACTTGTGTAGGGAGAAACTGTCAGGAGAAAATGGTTAACAATTGGCAAATTTTAAGTTAGGGCTTATACTTAGACTGATAAAGAAGCTTAGCATTCAGTGTAAAGAGCCGTAGATTGAGAAAAATGATTTTGAATCCTGACTGAAAATTATTTTGGTATTAATGTTCTTGCCAAGAAAGTCAACATGATTTTATTTAAAATTTTATTTCCTGTATTAGGAAAGTAATTTTTTTGTGATATTCACAGTTCATTAAGCTGTCTAGTTTTTATTTTTTTTAACTTTTAAGTTCACCCAGAACACTGGGAATGTTGGTTGAAATTAGTTTGAGTCAAGTGGATTGCAATCTTGTTGGGAAGGCAGTAGGACTGGAGCTTTAGGATGTGGGGAAAGGATTGCATTATGAACGAAAACATCAGAAAAGAGCTTGGAAGCTAGTGGATATGATAACCAGGGCTAGCAAAGTGTACAACTCAAGTAGGAAGCCATTTCTTCATTTTCTAATTTGAGAGTTGTCACTGGGCCCCATTTGTACAAAAAAATCTTCCTAATCAACCTACTCCTTGTGGCTAAAATTTTCACCATTAATTTATTGGATAGTGATTGCACCAGTGGCACTTGCACAAATGCTGAAGTGTTGGATTGAAAAACATGGAACTGCTTTGAGTTATAAAGCATTTCTGTATGGTCTCTGGTAAAATACATGTTGTCTGAGGACAGAAATTGCATAGTTTAGTTTACCAGATTAGTTAGCTGTTAGAAGTCTGGAATGAGTGAGGCACAGGATAGGTAAGGTTTATGGGGAAAGGCTCAGAACATAGATATTAAGAAGCCCAAAGGCACTGGGTCTCTGTTGTAAGGGTTATCAAAAATAAGGTATGCCTTTCATTTCATGATTTTTCTTCTGATAGTGGTGGCAATATCCAACAACCTGTTGACTTGATAGGGTTGAGGGACTTTAATATAAAATGTTGCTATTTTTAAAGTATGTTCATTAAGCAATTTAGATTATCTGGTTTAGGAATACTAGCTGGAAAGAGATACTTGCAAAACAAGGAAGGTGGTCTCCATTGATGGGACTTGTTCACGTTTTAGATTGGGATTACTAGGAATTTGTAAAGAAAATTTCCTAAATCTAGGCTTGTGGGACTAGGAATGTGAGATGATTTCTATTATACCTGTACCCAGCTTTAGACATAAGTATTTATTATATTCGTTTAATAAGCTAAGGGGGGAAAAAACAACTAATAAGCTGTATTTATGTTAGAAGCTGGCCTTGAAGAATCATAGAGCTCAAAAACCATCTATCCAACCTTTCATTTTATGGATGAGAAAACTAAGTTCCTTGGAGATTTAAGTGACACACAGTCACACAGAAATTTCAGGTAGGATTTGAAGTCAGGCCCTCTTACTGCAATGCCTGTGTTTTTTCCTCTGTAACCTTGCTCTCTAAGAAGTAATATATAGGATATTTAGAAAAGGTTACTTTGGTATAGCTGTTATAGAAGTAGCTAAGTGTCATAGTGGAGTGAGAATTAGAGTTGGAATCAGGAAGATAAGTTTTAATCTTGCCTCTGACTCCTACTAGCTGTGTGACCCTAGGCTAGTCATGTAACTTTTCTTGACTTCAGTTTCCCTATCTGTATAATAGGGATAGTAGCTATATCATAGTGTTGTGAGCATCAGCTAAGATGATAAATGTACATCATTTTGCCATCCTTAAAGCATTAGGTAAGGTTAGCTATTATTACTATTATATTGCTAAATCTGAACCAAAATCAGTGTTTTGGAAGCACCATCATTTGGCATATTTTTAGTTCAAAAATGTGAAAATCAGCCATAATTGGTGTAATATTTTGTTATGATTTTTAAATGTGACAATAGTTTAATTGGTGTTGCTTGAATGGTTTATAAGACAGCAGTGCTGGAACATGAACTTTTACAAAAATTATAATAATAGCATTTATATTTATTTATGTATTTATTTATTTTAGGGAAGAGAGAGCTTTATTCTGTCCATGTGTTTTGTATACACATTCAATTTCAGCCCAACAGCCAATTGAAAAGTCCTTCATCATGATTCTGTAAGTGAACAGTCACAGGACACCAGATCCAAAATAGGAAGAGCCCTTCTATCACAATTCACATTCCCAAAAGCAGGATCATCAAGCCACCTTGAGTTGATGCACAACAGATATACGATATAAGCTCAATGAACTGTGTTTCCATTGGCCAGTAATACTTTTATTTTAATTTAATTTATTTATTTTTAGTTTTCAACATTCACTTCCATAAGATTTTGAGTTTTAAATTTTTTCTCCCTCCCATTTCCCCTTTACCCCGAGATAGCGTACAATCCAATATAGGCTCTACCTATACATTCATGTTAAACATATTTTCCCATTAGTCATGATGCAAAGAACAATTAGAACTATTTGGAGAAACCATGAGAATGAAGCAATAAAACAAAACAACAAAGGAAAAGGAGAGCAAATAGTATGCTTCCATCAGGCTCCATATTTCTTTCTCTGGGTGAGGATAGCAGTTTCCATCATGGATCTTTTGGGGTTGTCTTAGATTCTTGTGTTGCTCTGAAGAGCCAAGTCTGTCAAAGTCAGTCATCCCATGTGGCTATTACTGTGTACAGCGTTCACCTGGTTCTGCTCACGTCATTCAACATCAATTTATGTAAGTCTTTCCAAGTTTTTTGAAGTCCAACTGCACCTCATTTCTTATGGAACAATAGTATTCCATTACATTCATATACCACAACTTGTTCAGCCATTCCCCAACTGATGGGCATCCTCTGAATTTCCAATTCTTGCCATTACAGAAAGGGCTGCTATAAATATTTTTGGAGCATAATAGCTAGCATTCACATAGTGCTTTAAAGTTTGCTCAGCACTTTACAAATGTCTCATTTGATGCTCTGAGCAACCCTGGAAGATAAGTGCTATTATTATCTGCATTTTACAGACAAGGAACAGATTGAGAGAAGTTAAATGATTTGCCCACCAGTCACACAGCTAGTGAATTTTGGATAGGATCTGAATTAAAGTCTTCCTGACTCCCAAGTCCATCTGTGTTTCCTGTGCCTGCCTCTAACTGAAATATGGTTCTATTTAGCTAACCCATCACTGGACTTGTAATCAAGTGATCTTAAGACTCTTTTAAACAAAAATTTACCACATAACCCTTTTCCACATTTCGTGTCAGTGACATCTCAAACATACGGTGAGACAACAAATGGTGCAATGAATAGAAATTGGAATCAGGAGGAACTGAATTCAAATTTGACTTCAGACATTTAATTAAGTCACTTAACCTCTGACAACTTCCATTTCCTCATCTGTAAAATGGGGATGGTAATAACACTTACCTCTTGGACCAGGTTGTTCTGAGGGTAAAAAGAGAATAACTGTAAAGTGCTTTGCAAACCTTAAAGCACTTTTGAGTTTGATTTAAAAATACAAAAAGGTAAGTCAGACAGTAACACTGTAGCAATTGAACCTTTTAAAACAATAATACTGTAAATATATTTTTTCTTAGTTAGCAATATTTGTTTCAGGATAAGCAACCAGACTTTGGATATTAATATAAATTGCTAATGATGAAAGATATTTGCCTGATTTTTAAAAAATCCTTTTTGGCTTAACTAAATACATTTATGTGTCTTTGGAAATTAAAAGATTGTATTTTGTTGACATTTTAGTGTTTAAATGATCTAATTAAAACTGTAGCATGGTGTAGTAGGGTTGGGAAGACCTGTCTCTGACATATGTTAGATGTGTGTGATCGTGGACAAATTATTTAACTTATCAGTACATCAGACTACTCCAGTACCATGTTGTATATAAGTTGATAGTTATGCATCAGTGGAGAGGAATTTTCCCACACTAATAAAATCTCAGATCTGAACATGGCTCTCCCTCCCTAACTCCCCCCTCCCATTCAAACTGTACGTGTGTATGCTTACCTATAGTCCAACAATACAGATATTACACAGTGACTTTTGGTGCATTTATGTTTACTTTAATTGTAGAATTGGAGTCAGCATGGTACAATGGAAAGAACATTGGTTCTGGAGCAACAGGAATTGTGTTCAAGTTTTCAAGATGCTACCTATGTAATTTGGGGAAAAATCACTTAACCTCTGGGGGCCTCAGTTTCTTTACGTATAAAATGAGGGTTTGGATTAGATGACCCCTGAGGTCCAAATCTAGGCAGATCTTATAAAAATCCAGCTTTAGTTTCAGCCTAATATTGAGATAAGCTACCTATAGGACACCTAAATTACATTTATATTGTAGTAGGATATTCACCTTACTGTGAAGTAGGATTTCCCCCCGTACATTAAGCATATGAATACACATTTCTACTAAAATGTCTTAAGATA